CCTGCGATCTCTGCCGGGGGGCGGGGCCTGCGCAGCCGCAGTAGGAAGTGAGGGTGGGGCCTGCACTGCTACCTGCAACTGTCCCGCCGCAGCGTCCAACGGTCGAGGCTTCCCTTCCCGGTGTCCGGCCGGCGGCCAACCTCTCCTCCGCGTCCCTAGAGGGTCGCCATGAGCTGGGCTGCGGGAGCCTTGCGTGCCAGCCGGAGGGCTGTGTGGGCCCAGCGGGCGGCGCCGCCCCGCGGGCCCTGGTGGCTGCCGACGCCGGTGGCCAGCATGGCCACGGTGAAGTCGGAGCTCCTGAAGCCGGTGGCCTCGGAGAAGCCGGCGGCGCACAACAAGGTGTCGGTGATCGGCACGGGGTCGGTGGGCATGGCGTGCGCCGTCAGCCTGCTGCTGAAGGGGCTGAGCGACGAGCTGGCGCTGGTGGACGTGAACGAGGACCTCCTGCGCGGCGAGACGATGGACCTGCAGCACGGCAGCACGTTCCTGAAGATGCCCGCCGTGGTGTGCAGCACGGACCTGGGCGTCACCGCCAACTCCAGCCTGGTGATCGTCACGGCCGGCGCGCGCCAGGCCAAGGGCGAGTCGCGCCTGAACCTGGTGCAGCGGAACGTGGCCATCCTCAAGTCGGTGATCCCCAGCGTGGTGCAGCACAGCCCGCGCTGCAAGATGATCGTGGTCACCAACCCGGTGGACGTGCTGACCTACGTGGCCTGGAAGTTGAGCGCCCTGCCCCCGGCCCACATCATCGGCAGCGGCTGCAACCTGGACACGGCGCGCTTCCGCTTCTTCATCGGGCAGAAGCTGGGCATCCACTCGGAGAGCTGCCACGGCTGGGTCCTGGGCGAGCACGGCGACTCGAGCGTGCCCGTGTGGAGCGGCGTCAACGTGGCGGGCGTCCCGCTGCGGGAGCTGAACCCGGGCCTCGGCGGCGACCAGGACCCCGAGCACTGGGAGAAGATCCACAAGGACGTGATCGCCAGCGCCTACCAGATCATCAAGATGAAGGGCTACACCAACTGGGCCATCGGCTTCTCGGTGGCCGACATCACGGAGAGCATCCTGCGCAACCTGCGGAGGACGCACCCCGTGTCCACCGTGGCCAAGGGCCTCTACGGGATCCAGGAGGAGGTGTTCCTGAGCGTGCCGTGCGTGCTGGGCGCGAACGGCATCGCCGACCTGGTCCGCGTCAAGCTCTCGCGCGACGAGGAGGCCCGAATGAAGAAGAGCGCCGAGACGCTGTGGGCCATTCAGAAGGAGCTCAAGATCTGAGGGCGCCCAGCCCCGCACGCCCGTGGAGAGCCGCCCTGTTGATGGCCCTGGGATTCTTTTAGGTAGCATCTAGATAACCGATAGGACTTTCCACAGTTCCTCGGTGACTGCGGCAAAGAAGCGGTTTTGCTGGTGCTGGACGCGCCAGTGTTCGCCTTCACAATTTATGTAGTTGCCACGTAGTCCAAAAGCAAGAAAGATGTTGGTGTTGGTTGGTTTCTCAAAGTTCTCAAAGTTCACTAGCACGTGTGTGTGTGCCCGTTCGTTCTCGCTGACTTACCCGCGATTTTAAAAGTTGTAACTTCGAAAATACAGAAATAAAAGTATGTACACACAGAAGCACGTTTTGTAACGGATCTGTCTTTAGGCTGCTCTTATTCCTCTATGAGTTGGACCACTAAAAAAAAATCGTGACATGGGGGCTGCTTGCTGCTGCGTGCAGAGTGTGTGTGTGTGTGTGTGTGTGTGTGTGTGTGTTGCCTGTGGAGCAGGATAATTAGGTTAACATGAAAATAATAGTGATCAGATTGCAGCTCTCAGAAAATACTGAATGCTGTAAAGTAGCTAGCTCCCAGAAAAGGCCCTGACAGGGGTGGTATAGATACTGTTAATTGATTTGGCAGGGAAAGGAACCATCCTTGAGCTTCGCAATCACCAAAATTGATGCGAAAGCGTTCTAGGGCTGAAAACCTGGCCTGTTGCTAAGGTTAAATAAAATGCACGTTATAAATCGTCCTTGGGCTGGGTCTTAGCAGTATTAGTGGGACCCTGGCCCAGAGAAGCTCTGGGACCATCCCCAATGCTCAGCTTCAATCATGTGAGGAAAAGACTCTTGCCCCGCTGTTCATCACTGTCTTAAGAGCTGGCCATTTGAACGAATGCTTTTGGAATTGTATTTCCAAGAAGATTATGTTTGCTTTTTATTCCTAAATCAATGAGCTTCTAGAAATTCTAGACTTTATTGGTGCAATGCAGTAAGAATTCAGGAGAAAGTAAAGAAAATGCTTTGCGTATTCTTAATCGCATTGATCACTTACAAGATGGGAAGCTGACATTTAAGAATTCATTGCCTTCCTAATGCTGCTGGATTTTTAAGTAGTGGGTTTTCTAACATTTTACTTTGGATCCTTGTGAATATCAACATTCTGTTCTCTAAGCCATAAATAATGGCCCTTTTCATGCTCTTCATACCTCCCAGAGTATTCATCAAAAATACCTAGCTTTAGTCTGACTCTCCAGGAAGCAGTGTCATAAGGGGCCAGCTGATGTGCTGCATTCCTCAAAGTGGGAAGGGAGGTGAGTCCGTTGATGCCGGTGCTGGTGAGAGCTTTTAGACAGTTAGGGGATGCCCTCTTACTCAACCGTGTCTTAGCCAAATTAAACTATTAGTGAAGGGCATCCGAGCATGCATTGTGTCTGTTTTCTAATTCTCTTTATCACGTGACTGCCAGGATAGATGATTAACGCTGCAGTAAACCAAAAAAATCTCCAAATCTGTTTCCTAAAATCAAGGGTTTCCTCCTCCCTTGAGTCGAATCCACTGTGGGTTTCAGCAGGTCTGTCTCCTCCAAGTGCTGGCTCAGCACCTCAGTGTGCTCTGCCCAGCCACCTCCGGGGCAACATGGGCTCAGGATTGCAGTGGGAAGGGAGGAGAGCAACTCCTGACCTCCTGCCATGGTAGCCCAGAGGTGGCATTTCTTTTGTTCCCATTCACTGGTCACATAGTTGCTTAACTTCAAAAGAAGGCAAAAAGGGTAATTCTCTAGTAGATTACAGTAGTAATGTCCCTGTCGTGTCGTTCAAAATATTCACCATTACAACAGGCATACATGCTTTTTTTTCTTTTTTTGGTGGTACTAGGGATTGAACCCAGGACCTTGTACTCGCAAGGTAGGTGCTCTACCACTTGAACCACATCTCCAGCCCCTTTTTGCCTTGGATATTTTGTTTTTTTTTTGTTTTTTGGGGGGGGGGTCTGGTCGTGGGGCCTGAACTCTGGGCCTGGGCGCTGTCCCTCAGCTCTTCAGTTCAAGGCTAGCGCTCTACCACTTGAGCCACAGCGCCACTTCCAGCTTTTTGCTTTTTGCTTATGTGGTGCTGAGGAATCGAATCCAGGGCCTCAGGCATGCAAGGCAAGCGCTCTACCACTGAGCCACCTTCTCAGCCCTGCCTTGGATATTTTGGGGGAGAGGAGAGTCTCATTTTTGTGGTCAGGCTGGCCTGGGCTATGAGCCTCCTATTTGCACTTGCCTGTGTTGCTGGGAATGACAGGTGCATGCTACCATGCCCAGGCATGCATTGAAATGGAGTCTCAGGGGCTGGGAAGGTGGCTCAGTGGTAGAGTGCTTGCCTTGCATGCATGAGGCCCTGTGTTCAATTCCTCAGCTCCACATAAGCAAAAAGAAAAAAGCCGGAAGTGGTGCTGTAGCTCAAGTGGTAGAGCGCTAGCCTTGAGCTGAAGAGCTGAGGGACAGCGCCCAGGCCCAGAGTTCAGGCCCCACGACCGGATCCAAAAACAAAACAAAAAAGAAATGGAGTCTCAAAGGTTTATTCCTTGACTTGTCTGGAATGGTAATTCCTTTTAATCTTTACTTCCCTAGTAGCTGGGATTCTAGATTTAAGCCATGATACCCAACTACATTATAAGCTTTTGAAGTACTTTTCAGGGAAAACTGGAACATGGGTAAAAGTTGCTTCAGTGTGGCTGAAGGGCAGTATTGGACATCAGCCAGGCAGTAGTATTTAGAAGCCACGTCACTGAGGACACGTTTACCTCTCTGAACTCTGGTTTCTTGTACGTAAAAGTGGTTGTAATTTCTGCCATATAGAATTGTGAAGATTAAATAATAGCACCTAGCTTTATCCAGCGCTTGATACATACCTATCCAAATAATGGACATGATTATTCTTGTTTGAGTAAGGCTTTTGTATCCTTACCGTACGTTTTATCTCCTGGTATTAGTAATTCGTTTATGGCTAAATTACCATCATCGTGACATTTTGCCATTGGCACTGTCTGTGGTCATGAACGTGTCGCACGCGAGGCTTTTCCCTCAGTAGGTCCTGCAGCAAGGCTGGCAAGAGTCCCTTCCCTGCAAGTGAGGAAGCAGAAGTCAAGGGAAAACATTTCAAAACCCAGCTCTTGGTTCCAGTAACTGCCTGTTGTTAGAATTGGTGCTGTAAGGATCTTCTGCAGTTAGAGACATAATGGAATCACCTTGCCATCAGAGCTTGGGAAAGTGGCCCCTGGTCACGGGAACGAGGAGAGAATTGCAGGAAGAGATTGCAGGGCTTAGAAGGGCATCCGAGCGCCTCGGAGCTGCTGTGGACACTGCTCCGGCCTGCTCTGTCCTCACCACACTTTTGGAGCATATGACCGAGGGACAATAGATAGCAAAAACTGTGATTGTTGATCGTAGACTTCATGTGTTTCATAACCCCGAATCCTTTCTGAAAGACATATTTAGGCAAGGAAATGCTTTTAATTCTTGCCCGACTCATTGATTATACCTTCTTCCGGATTTTTCAGGGCGAGTGCTATTATTGGGCCTCACAGTTTGCTAGGCAAGCACACGTGGGCTACATCTCCAGCCCAATCAAAACGTTTTGGAAATACACATCAGAAATTACTAAAGGGGGAAAAAGGAAGCTTTTCATTTATTATCCATGTCTAAAGCAACTTATAACTTAAAATACACATTTTTGAGTTTCCATTTCCTCAGCTTAACGTGAGAGGACAAGGCGCAAAGGTGTTCTTCATCTCACTTTTCCTCAGACACTGTTCCCTGTTCCAAAGCCCAGGTATTTCTGATTGGCTGTCTTTCAACGTGACTCCTTGAAGTGGTCCGCTTAAGACCCTGGGAACAAGTAAATACTGCAGGGCTAGGGAAATGAGAGGGACAAGAGAGGCGCGGGCGCACAGGGCGCAGAGGAGCAGGCCCCCTCGCCCCTCTCCTCTCCTCACCCTCTCTCCCCGCTTCCCACACCTGTGCTTCCCACCTTCTTCCTTCCCACCAGCTCTACCAAGTTCTGCATGACAGAGAGAATGGTAAAGATGCTGCAGACGTCCTACACCTGACTCCCAGTTTGAAAACGGCATCATTAGGCTACGTTGTAGCAGACATTCAGCCCAACACCCAAAGGGAAAGCGCACAGCAAACCCTGCTGAGAGGTGCTTAGTACTTACACGACAGAGGTGCATGGTTAGCGTCTGGGATAGAACAGTTCCTGTCCTGGACATGGAGCATCCGTGTGCCTTCCCCTCACCAAATGCAAACAGCAGCGCCGCAGGGGCTAGCCTGTCTTGGCAGCCCATCGCAGTACAAGCTAGGGGTCTGCGAAGAGGGTGAGAAGAGGTTCATCCTCGTGTGTATCTTCAACCTTGGCGTCTAGGTCTAGAGCCTCTAGATGGCTGGGATATGTGTGGTGGATAACTGTGTCCCTCGTGTCAGAAGAGTCGCACCAAGTGACACGTAAAGTAATGCTTGAGCTCTGCCCTTGAACACCGGATGTTGATGATGCCTGCTCTACTGCACGCCGCCTCCCCCCACGCGATGACTGAGCGAGTGCGGCTGGGATCTGAACACAATTCTGTCTCACACCAGAGTCTACGCTGGCGACAGAGACTGGGCACATGCCTAGGATTTTAAATCCCCAACAAGATGGCAGCCCTGGAATTTGAAAACAATGTGAAATAAACGTCTACATAGAAAACAAGCAGAAAACACCCTCGCTGTGTCTCACATACCGGTGTGTGAAATGGCCTGCGTGTCCGGGAGGAGACCACGGCTGATGAGCAGAACTTGTCACACCGTGCTGCCTCTGAGCTGGCTCCTCCGGGAAGGACGGCAGAGGAGGAAGGAGGAGCTACAGTGTGCACCGAGCACCGTCTGAGGAGATGGTCCTGCCCCACAACTCGGTGCTCCACAGTATGGACGTGCCCTTTCATGGGCTGGGCACCCGGGGTGAACCAAGAGCCCACCCATGCTGCACACACTGCAAGCTCCCCTCCCCCTCTCCCCCCCCCGCCAGCCTCTGCCCTGCTTCTCACTGCCGAGTCAGCTGCTGCTGCCCAGACTCCCATGTTGATTCTTCCACTCTCTGACACATATGGACATTCTACGTTAGCTGCTAGTCAGTTTGAACTCAGGGCATGGGTGCTGTCTCTGGGCTCTTTTTGCTTTCAAGGCTAGCACTCTACCTCTGAGCCACAGCTCTACTGGTGGTTTTTCTGGTGGTTAGCTGAAAATGAGAGTCTCATGGACTTCCTGCCTGGGCTGGCTTTGAACCTTGATCCTCAGATCTGCTGGGTAGCTAGGATCACAGATGTGAGCCACCAGCACCCGGCTACTCATTTCTTTGTTCTTTATTAAACCCCTACTAAATTTCTTCTCTTTTTCCCTCTAGCTTTAAAATTCTAGCTTGGAACTACCTGAGTGTAATCTTGATTCAGGCTGATAGAACACCCCCCACCCCCACCCCGTTCCTCTGTAGAAGGCAGTGGAACGCGCCCATCTTGTGACAGGAAACACCTGTAGGGAGAGATGTTGATTTGGGGCACGTTACCTTGCAGACTTCAGTGATGGTTTTTGTCATTTAGTTAATGGATTCCTACTCGGAAGGAGAAAAGAGGGGTGTTCTTTGTTCTGTCTTAGCTAGAACACAGGCCTGTTTTCATCCATATTCCTTTCGCTCCTTGTTCTCCAGTGAGCCCGGTGCCGCTGCTAATGGCCTCCGACATTTCTCCCTTCTTTTGACATTTGATGACTGATTTTTTTTTTCTTCTAGATGAAAGACTTTCGAAGTAAAATGCAATCGATATTTCCCACAATCCCGAAGCACTCCGACTCAGCTGTTGGGTGGGAGGAAGCGTTGAAATCTAAATGAGAAGAGCATGGATGAATTCCCAAATGATGGCTGCGGGACGGGTGGCTTTGGGACACAACTGCGAAAGGACTGGGGTGCCTTCTCAGGATCATGTGCAGATGGCCGGTGTGCCACAGGACGGATGGCCTTCCCAGCGCCAGGCCGGCTGCCTGCAGCCTGTCTCTGTGTCTGTGCTTGGGGAGGGAACGTGATCCTAAACTCCAAATGACTTATAAAAATAATCATCACTGGGATAACTTCCCCAGACGGGGGAGAATCCCAGAGGAAATACTCGGTTTATAACAATAAACCAGCTTCCATATCTGAAAAAAAGTTGATAATAAAAGTACCATAGAAAATCTAAGCAGTAGTAGTACCTTTAAAAAAGCCTTTCTTGTCTGCGTAGGACTGAGCGTTCAGAAGACTGGTTTCTGTTATTAGCTGTCTCCAGAGTGGCAGGTTCTTAGGGAAAGCTGGTCAGCAGGAAGTGGGTGTGGCTTGTGCTGGCCCCAGACACACACCTTCCACGCATTTACCTGCTGGTCTCACCTGAAGGGCCTCAGTTCATATACTTAAGACAGAAAGCCAACACCTGATTACGATAACTTGAAAGGGTACCAGTGGGCTGAAATAATAATAGTAATCATCATAATAATGTCTTGACAACAAAATATACTTTGTTGAGAAATCGGTTCTGCTTCCCTGAACACTGACTTGACAATTCATAGTTTTGACTTCACTGTTAGAAGGAAAGCAGTGTTACCTGTTTTGGTGACAGTTTTGTCACTACTTGGGTTTAAACTTGGGACTATGGTATTTAACCGGGCAGGCTCTCTACTGCTTAAGCCGTACCTCCAGCCCTTTTTGTTCTTGGGTTGGTTGGTTTGAGATAGGGTTGTGGTTTTTTTCTGGACTGGCCTGGGTACAGTCCTGTATACCTTCCCCCTGTGCCTGGGTTCACAGGAGTGAACCACAATGCCCAGCTTTTCTGTGAACTTTTTGTACAAGCAGGTCTTAAATCACATTAAAGTATCACAATCTTCTGATCTCAGCCTCCTTTGTGGCTATGAAGAAGCTACAAAGCATGGGCTACTAAGCCTGGCTTGTCTTCAATATTTTTTACAGAAAGTCACCTAAATACTGGGACTCAATATTAATTATTGGTATCACCCTTGGGTTTTTTTTTGGGGGGGGAGGGGCCTTGAACTCAGTTCCTGGGAGCAGTTCCTGAGCTTTTTTGCTCAAGGCTAGTGTTCTACAACTCCATTTCTGGCTTTTTGGTGGTTAATTGGAGATCAAAGTTTTATGGACCTTTTTGCCCAGGTTGGCTTTGAGCTGTAATCCTCAGATCTCAGCCTCCTGAGCAGCTAGGATAAAAGTGTGAGGCATTGGTGTCCAGTGGTATAAACTTCTTGATGAAGCTAATTCTGACTTACGTACCCAACGACTCTGGGTCTCCATGATCTCTTACAGAAGCAGATGGAGAGTAATGTCTGCATACAGTTATTTTTACTTTAACATTTTTAAAAGGCGAGTATGTCAATATGTCCAGAGAAATACCCTCTGGTTGAACATCAGTTGTTCAGTTTTTTTCAGGATTGCCTAGGCTCTAATTAGTCAGCAATCAAGTTTAATAAAGTGCATTTGAAATTTCTATTGCAGTGAAACCTTTTAGTTCTAAGGGAAATTTTTTAAATGAAATGTCAAATGCATAATGAAACATTCTTTAGACTATGCTAGCCTGTTAAAATTGTGTTGTTAATTAAACAGGTGTAATCAGTGTCTGCTTTCACAGTTACCCTGTTCAAAATCCAAGACCAGAAGGAAAACATTGAGAAATTTATCTGTGTGGAATGACAAAAGCTCTTCAGTTATCTTCATTTTAAACTTCTGTGAAGAAACAATTTCTGGCTTCTGAGTGCAATGAAGAAAAGGCCAAAACTAAATGAAGGGCATGTGTCCGAAAAACAGCACCAGCACCCCCACAGCTATTTACCTTTGGGGCTCCCTTTCCATTTTCCTTAGGTGCACCATGCCTGTTGATTGTTCAAAGACTCCCCCCACCCCTAAACACATCACATGGTTAGGAGGAAATGAAATTCCCCCAGTGGTAAGCGAACAAATCATCATTAGCTGTCATTGATGATCAGAGCCCTGACTGGAAAGCTCAATGCTAGAGATTCCTTTCATGGCCTTGTGAGTCTGTAGGATCATCTGCTGCCACTGTGCTGATGTCAGCCCAGCCTTAGTAGGGAGCTCGGGGCCACAGTGAGTGTGCTGTGTGCTCATGGGGCCTGGCACCACGGTGGCTCACAGGAGGGTGTGCCAGAGGAATGCACGAATACTCGCTTGTGCGGCCCGGTGGATGTTGGCAGAGCCCTGCCTTAACACCTACATCTGTTGCCCTTGGGGGCAGGGGTCTCCCACAGGAGAGCCCACGTGTGGGTACCTGCCGGCTAAGATGGGCTAGGGCCGCATTCCTAGAACCTGCACCACATACATGCACACTCTAGTTACCTTCTACGAGCAAAAAGTGCACAGGGATGAAAATGCAAGAAGAAAATAAGCAATATGACTAAAAGTCAGAACCTAGATATTGGAAAGATTTAGTCATCTGTCTATTCCTTTTATACCAGAGGCATATTGTTAAATTGGTTAATGGAAAGGAAAAATGTTTAGCAGATAATGTTATTCTTTATGTGAAGTACCATCTGTGTATTGAGTTCTGAATGTTCTGGATATGGAAGAGAGGAAGTGTTATGGAATTTCAAGTTTGTCTTCGTAGCTGTCTCTGTCTTGGGTAGAGTATGGCAAACATAATCACATTTATCTCCTGGAGCATAAAAGAGTTTTAATCACCCTATTAACCAGGATGACATTTTTCACAGACTTAAAAAGGAATAGAACAGACATTATCTCCCCATAAGCAATCCATTTCATGGAGGCTGAGCACTAGAAATGCTTTAGAGAAGGGATAACAGCCAGTTCCATTTCCTGTGGAAGACAACATTAAGGAGGCTTTGGGTAAGGATGTGGCTTCCATTGCGTGAGTGTAAATCTTTGCACTTAAGAGTCTCCAGCCCAAAAAGCTGTTGGAGAAAGCCACAGAGAAAGCCATGGTGTGCAGAGAGGGGCGGCTTCTAAGAATTCAGGATTCTTGCAAGGAAAAAATAATGTATCCTAGTAAGGTATTGCTGATCTGTAATGACATTTCCCTGGGCTTCTGTCTCTCTTGGAGTCAAGAATATACAATCCCAGCATATCCTGGGAATGGAACGGGGCTGGGGGGGGGTGTGCAGCAGGAGGGGTAGGTGGCCTGCATGTCAAGGCCCAGCAGCGTGTCAGGGCAGGCTAGACTCCACGCCCTTCAAGCTGCCAGAGGCTCACTAGAGAAGGACTCAGCCTGCCCAGTCAGAAGGAAGAACCTAAGCATCTCGCCTGTCAGCCTCTGTTCAGCTTCACCGAAGGTGTGGGACTGAACTTGCAAATTAATCATTGCAACCTAAGGGGGAAACAAGGAATTACAGGGAAGGGGAGTCCATAGGGACGAAAGCAATTAAAATCCATTGAATTTAACTGTTCCACTTGGGGCAACATTCCATGTCTCCTAGGTTTGATTCAAAAACAATGTTTATTTTCATTTCATTTTCATCTATTCCTTTAAAAGAGATAAGCACAGGTAAACTATAAATAAATACCTCTAAGTTTCCCATGAAAGTTACTCAAATACATTTTTCTTTTGTTCTGGTCCTGGGGTTTGAACTCAGGGCCTGAGCACTGTCCCTGAGCTTTTGCTCAAGGCTAGCACTCTACCACTTGCTCTACTGCTTAATTGGAGATAAGAGTCTCATAGACTTTCCTGCCCTGGCTGGCTTCAAACCATGATCCTCAGACCTCATCCTCCTGAGTGGTTAGGATTACAGGCATGATCCACCAGGGCCCAGCTTAAACTATGTATTTTCATAGTATTTCATAATGTTCACATAAGAGATTCTCCTTTCTGCCAAGAGTTGCCATATGGTGTAGCCAACATGGAGGTCCCTGCTGGTGTTACCAGAATTCCTTGTCAGAGGCTGTGATTTTTGTGAGCTTTCCTCACCAGCAGAGACAGGAAACGGACACCATAAGAGGCTAGAAGCACCTTCCGCCTGGTGGCAGATGACTCACATAATTGGGGGTGGAGGGAGGGGGTGAAAAGCACAGTTACTGGAAGCGCATTCTTCAGTCTTGGAGTGATTTAGGATCTTAATTTCTATTTGTTACCTCTGCTGGATCAGGTCCTCTGCCTCGTCACCAGCGATGAGGCGTGAGCACTTAAAAGAGCACTAGGAAGACGTGGGCAAGCAGGTGTGGAAGTGTGTAAGGACAGAAGAGTAGCAGGCTCTGCTAAGAAGCCAGGTCAGACAAACAGAAAACTTGCCACACTCATGACAACTATGACCTGCTCATCCGAAACATCCAGAAATGAGTGTTCTCGTTGCCGCTGGCATCTCAGTGTGGGGTGGCAGTCTAGGTGTGCAGGCCCTAGGGGATCTTTGTCACTTGGGACTTCAGCCTCCAGCTCTGCTATGCATTGCAACCAACAGACGTTGGTAAAAGCCAGCTCGAATCTGACGGTCCATACCAAGTGGTGCCCAGCTCTGTAAGGGACTCTGGCAAGTCTGGTGATGCGGATGCTGACATTTGAGTGACTCCAACCGCCCCTGCTGATGGTTCTGGATGCTTCCTTGCCTCCTCTAGCAAAGCTCATACTGCAGAGCAACAAAAACCAGACACATAGAAATGGAGGGAGAGGCGTCACAGCCGAGCTCCTTGGCAGCCGTCCCCAGGGCTTTCCACTTCCATCCCAGTGCGCCCAGCTGCCCGGAGACCTCAGAGACCCTTGCACAGCTAAGGACGATGCGGCCTAGTCACTCTGATGAGGGACCTTTCCTCTCGCTCACTTGTTGGGAGCTCGTCATCCCTTCTCCAAGATTTTTGTTAGGAGGGATTATCATACTTGTGGGCACTGCCCCTTATCCTGTCTCCTGCAGCGTGGGCACTGGGGCAGGGAGGTGGGGTCACGTGGTGCCTGGTCTCTGTTTGTCTGGGGTTGAAGGTAACATGATGTCAGCCAGCCACTTGCACCTGTTTTCCAGATGTGCCACTCGAGGTCTCTGAGCTGGGGGTCCTTACAAAACAGAATTAGCCTCACCTGACCGTCACCAAAGCTCAAGAGAACTCAGAAAAATGATGAGAATTCAGTTTCTAAGTCTTTTTTTTTTTAGGTCCGAGACCAGGACTCGAACTTGGTACCTGATGCATTTGCTAGTTGGCTAGAACTCTACCAGCTGAGCCATGCCTCTGACCCCAGTTTCTGAGT